ACACTAAGACAACTAATAGATTCTCAAATTGGTTTGGTGTGTGCATGAGCACCTGTGTGTGGATATAAGAGAGACAGAATATGTATGATGGATGTGTTCATGTGTTTACAGATGTGCATGTCTGTGCACACGAGACCAGATGATGACATCATGTGTTCTGCTCTACCTCTCTCTACTTCGATCCCTTGAGACAAGTCTTTCACTGAAACTAGAGCTAAGTTGGTAGTGAGCAAGCCCAGTCATCCTCCTGTGTCCACCTGACTCCCCAGGCCCAAGCATTGGGGCTTTAGACACACTACCATAGCCAGCTTTTTACTGGGCTCTGGGGATTTAAACTCAGATCTTCATGCTTGCACAGTAAGCACTTTTGCCTGCTAAGCCGTGCACCCAGCCCCAGTAGGCAAATGTTACTCCTAATTCCTCTTCTTCCGTCTTAGGACTTACGTTTGTATCACTGAAGGGTTTCTTAGAGCCTGGTGTCACATCTATGACACTGGTCACTTGACCACTTTCCTCCCACCCTCCTTTCGCGTAACAATGGTTCCTGGACTGAGGATGTCATTCAGTGGCAAAGTACTTGCCTGGCATCAACAAGGCCCTGGGTTCGACCTCCAGTACTCCAAAACAAAACAAAACAAACAAACAAACAAACAAACAACCCAGTGGTTATGCCTGCACAGACACGGCATACCATTTCTTTCTTTCGGGCCTATATGTGCTTTGCAGAATGTCTAAAGTCAGAATTCTTCTATCATAGAATTTGTTTTTTTCTTCACTTAAATGCAGTTGAGGGGCTTGAGAGATGGTTCAGTGGTTAAGAGCACTGGCTGCTCTCCCAGAGGACCTGGGTTCAGTTCCCAGCACCCGCAGCTCACAACTGTCTACAATGACCGGTTGCAGGGGATCCAACACCTTCACACAGACACACATGCAAGCAAAACACCAATGCACGTAATAGTAAAAATAAAAACAATTAAAAATTAAAACTGCAGCTGAGACATGTCAAAGTGTTGAGCTTATTTTTCTTGGCAGGGGGCGAGGGGGAGTCTTCTCTCTTTTAGAAACTATTTCTCTGTGTTTGGCGCTTTTCTATAATAGTCACTTAATGCTTTATAATGGAAAACTTCTTAATATTTATTTCTGAAAATATAAAAATACTGAGGCCCAGGGCTTGGTCTAAGACTGTGAGTGAAGCGGGTTGGATGCCTGCCTGAATGGGTTCTGTTCCAAACTTGGGGTTGGCTCAGTGATTACTCGGCTTGGAAGACGTGGTCCCCATGGGTGTTGCAGGCTTGTTGGGTAGACCATGTTTGGGGACAGCGGGGTGCACCGTTTGGGGAGAGCTGATCACATAAGGCTTCCAATCGTGGATGTCTCCGAACATCCATCCATCCGTGGATAGAGGCCAAGCAAAGGCAAGCACGCCTGGCCCAGAGATCTATGTGAACCTGGGAGTTAAAGAAAAAAAATCACTTTTCTTCTTACGAGGATGGATTGGCCGGCTCAGCCTCCGCTGGAACTCACAGACCCTCCTTCGCATCTGCATTCAGCCAGCGCAGTTGCTGGCACTCGTGGGGACTGTCAGCATCTCATTAGAACCCCCTATTGTCAGGGGCTTAGAATCCAGGCATAAAAACTTGCACCGAGCTGGAACTTGGCACACGCAGCTACAGCCAGGAAGTGAAGTTTGTATGTAAGATTGAAAAAACATCTGTTTGGCCATTTTTGAAGGAGTGTGAGAGCAAACACAGGGAAGATGCAGGGCTTTTGATAGTCTGAGTTGGCTGTAACGCAAGGCAAACTTAACTGAGAGAGCAAGCTTTGGCTCGATTGCGTTTTCAATGTCCCTGGCAAGTGACTGCCCCGTGGCATGGTCCAGCCACATCAAGCTCATTAGAAGAAGAAAAAAAAAAAAAAAAAAGCAAAGGAAAAAAAAAACACATAGGATTGTGTTTTCAGACATAAGCAACTGAACTGACGAAACCTTCCCCCCTGGGCTTTAAAAAAAATATTTCCCAGAGAAGTGAAGACCTCGCTGGTTAGAAATACAGGTCAGGTGTTATCGTAATGAACTCCCCTGGGTATGTGGGATTTTACAACAGGCGAATTTGATCGTAACGAATGCACCATTTGGAATCCCATTCACAGCCTGCAACTCCCTCAGACCCTCCCTCCAAAACCAGGGTGGAAGCGGCCACTTTCAGGACAACGAGGGGTGACAAGGGGATTCCTCTGAGGTGTCCCCCCTCCCTGTTGGCAAGACGCCATTCTGTCTTTCTATTTCAACAGTTAACTTAAAGATTTGGGGTGGTAACTGTTTTTCTGAATTACCTGATGGAGTAAGCAGAATGTCTCCCTCCTGGATGAATGGTCTAGTAAGCAACATTAGGCAAATAATATCTCAGTGAACACTTCACACACACACACACACACACACACACACACACACACACACACCACTAATGCCACAGGATGCACTGTGGAATGCATATTAATATAGTAATAAACTATTTAAAATCTACAAAACAGCTCTTTAATAAGTCCAGCCTTGTACACACACAATTCTATGGTTGAACCATGAGAAATTGTCATTTCTTTATATCAAAGATGGCCAGACGAGGCCGGCAAATGGCTCAGTGGGTAAAGGGGACCTGATGACCTCAGACTGACATGGGAGAAGAACAGGCTCAGCTCCTGAAAGTTATCCTCTGATCTCTCTATAGGTGTCATGGCATCTGTACAAACACACACACACACACACACACACACACACACACACACACACACACATGCATAAAATAAATTCAATGAAATAGTTTAAGCCATGGTCACAAGAAGAAAATTCCATTTGCTTTAGCCTAATGATACATGGCAAGTAGTTTCAATACTTTATGTTACTGACTAATTTTAAAGCATTGTATTCCAAGTCTGGTGACAGGTGTTTTGGTCCTATTTGAGTCGTTTATCTACTGACTCTTTGAGGAGGTCATCAATCAGCTCCTCATCTCTTATAAGGGGAAAGCGGTGGTAATAATTATTGTTATGTTTACTCCACAAGGTGGTTGAGGGGCTGTGACTAGGCTTTTGTTCTTTAACCTGTAGAGAGAGATGTGAATCACTGTCATCATGATTGGGTAGCTTTGTTATATGGTGTCTTTCTCTCATGCCATCATGTTCCTTGTGAGGTCTGTTAGAGGGAGGACCTCATTATCCTACAAGGTACCTCATTCGTGATCAAGTGTGTGACAACCTAACCCTGGTCTCAGCAGCTACACTGTCCACATTTCTTCTGATTTTCCTAACAAGGTCATAAATCACCAGAGGAAACAACCTTTGCAATAGCTTCTTGTTAACTGGGAAACAAGAACTCTTCACATAGAATGGTATCAGTGCTCTCTTACTGAGATTTATCCAGTTATTCTCAATACATTTTTTCTCCCCTGCCTCACTTTTCCATTGGTTTTCATCTTGTACATTCATAATTCCACCACATACTTCTGGAACAATTTTTTTTTTGTAGAATAAAAACAAATGAGTCAACAATAATCTATTTCCAGAAGCTGCTCTGCTCCAGTGAGTCTAGGTCATGTGACAGCACACACATACACACACACACACACACACACATAAGACACATGGTACTTGTGTTGTGCTAAAAAGGTCTGTGCTGTTTGGCCCTGTATCCCCATCACACTGGGCAATATTGTCTATATGATTTAAACGCAGAGCTCAGAAATAGCTTAGGCGTGTGTGGGCCTGGGGAACCAAAGGTCTAAAGGCAGTGAGAAATAGCCCCCAAGGCCTGTCACTGAGCACTGGCTGACAGGGCTGTGTGCTGTCCTTGACACGTCCTTGTTTCTGGCACGAGGGAGGCGCTCTGGGTAAGAGAGGGCAGGCTCAGGCCTTGTGACAACAGCCAACATTTCAAGAGCACTCTACTCCATCACTTGGCTCTTCGTGCCAGCATGTCCCCTGGCCTCAAGTATTCCCTGAGCAGGTTTTGAAAAACACACACTCTTTCAGGCTCCAGGGACCATTGTGTAAGCTTCCAGCTCAGCTCCCCGGGCAACCCAAATGGGGTTTTCACAACTTCTCAAGGCGCTGACTTTGCCTCTTAGGCCATCGGTTAAGGCTAAGAGGCTCTGTCTCAATCCAGCAAGCCGCTACGCAAAGCTAACTTCCATCTCTCTGGAGGTGCTTAATGAAGGACAGGGCCATGTCACAGAGTCAAACAGAGTACAATACAGATGTCCTGTTTGGGGTCCCGCTCCTCCCTGAGGAACTGTAGACTGGTAACGGTTGCCGGGGAAAGGGAAGCGATATTCCTCAGTGGTGTAACCACTGATAAGTTACCCTTGATCAAGAAGGTCACTCTCCCTCAAGCAAGCTATCCAAAGTCAGGGCAGTAGTCCTCAAGCAAACCGAACAGTGTGAAACTTGTAGGCTTCAGTGGGAGGGAAGGGGGATAAGACAAGATAACGGGCTGCGGATATGATCGGTGTGGATTATACGTAAGAAATTGTGAAAGAGACAACAGAATAAGATGTGACAGAGGAATGGGAGGCAATCAGTCTATGCCTGTTGCCCCCTGATAAAGTCTAGCTATGTAATATCTGCTGGGTAGGGTAGCTACTGGACCGAACTTCTTTGCCTGTGACGTGCAGCGGAAATGAAACAGTGTGTGTGAAAATGTCCAGCGAAAAAGGCACACGCGGCTGGTTAAAACAAAAGCTCCATTCCTTACACACAAGCCACCCATACTTTATCCAAGGGAACCGCATTGCTCCCTTTCTTCCCCCAGGAGGACGGGCATAAACTGAGGAGTCCAAGTCCAGCCGGCAGTAGAGAACAAAAGGCAAGAAGGACGCTTCATCAGGAAACGATACTGGTCTCCCACGTGTCCATAGCATTTGGGAAACACAGCTCTCCCGCTAAAAGGCTGGCAGGTGAAACCTCGCAGGGAGGCTTCCGGTGCCAGATGGAAGGCGGAGGTCACTTACTTCCGTATGGGGAGCCTGTGGGCGAGCCGTTCAGAAATCCCGGCGATCCCGGCACCCCCAGGTTGGCCATAGGAACATTGCTGTAGCCGTTCATGCTGTTACTGGAGGTGCTGTAATTAGATTGCTGAGGCGTGGAGCTGGAGGAGTATCCCCTCGGGGAGATGCTGCTTGTGTTGCGAATGTATCCTTGACAACAGAAGAAACAGGCCAGGTAAGCAAAGCCCTACCCACCATCGGGCCAAATGTGGATTGTGTTTGTCCACATCTGTCCCAGATCATAAAGTCACCACTGCCAAGCCTTGCAGCATTTGATTTTTAAGTGTCATGTAGTCATTGTCCATCCCCATTTTTTTTTCTTTTTTTGTATATGCGTGCCTCACATGACTGGTACATGTAGCCCTTCAGATATTTAATCAGATATTTAATGCTGGTACTGGAAGCATTCAAAAATTTGTTGCCTCTTTTGGAATTTATGGTAAACTATTGTCATCTACAGTCACCTGACCATGCCACAGCACACCAGAGCTCAGTTAATTGTCCTGTAGAGCTGCATTGCCATCCTTGGTAACAAAGCTCTCAGCTTTTGATGACTTCTTTCCTCTGCACAGGCCACACCTCTGATACTTCCCCCTTCTCTTTATTTTACTTTATATTGTTTTGTTTTACTTTATTTTATAATTTGGCTTCGAGACAGGATGTCACTATGTTTCTGTGGCTGGCTTGGAACTTCCTCAGCATCTCAGACAGGCCCAGAAGTGATGATCTTCCTGCCTCCATTCCCAGGGTGTTATCCACACCTAGCCTTTTCCCTCAGCATCACTAGTTCTCTCTCTCTCTCTCTCTCTCTCTCTCTCTCTCTCTCTCTCTGGAGCTGGTAAGAGAGCCTGCCAAGCTGTACCTCACTGGACATGGACATTGGAGCTCTACAAGATACTAATTGCTATCACTGAGAAAAATCATTCAGCAGCCAAGCAAAGCTGGACAGATGCTAGGGCCAAAGCAATTCTTTTGAAGATTGTCAAATAAAGGACCAAGGAGTAAATATCCTGTTCAGAACATGACAATCTAGTATTTTGCAAATTTAACAAAAATTTAGAATCCTTTCTGGGAATGGAGGATGCTTTCTGGGTAATGTTTCTGGGGCCCTTTGCATTCTGCAGAGCAGTTTGGAAATGGTACTTTAAAGTCACCACCATTCTCTGTGTGGAGATCATTTTCAGTCAGAAGGTACTGAGGCTCACAGCGCACTATGCTGACTCAGGGCTCTGAGGGGTCAGCAGTCAAGTATGGACACCCAAGCCATAAATGACATGAAGGATGAAGAGTTTCCCTATGATTCTGAAGGCCTGGCACAGAGTTGGCATCCCTTTGTCCTGAAAGAAACTCTGCGATGACTATGTCTAAAAGTGATTGGATATAGCAATATAGCTCAGTTGTAAAATACTTGCCTAGCCTGGGCAAGGCCCTAGGTTCAATTCTCAGAAATGAAATATACATAGATTATATAGATAGAGACATCTTATATTAAATATAGTGTATATGTGTGTGTCATGTGTATAATCATATATATCACATATGTTAGACACATACATACATCTTTCTCTATATATGTACACATATAAATATATTTATAAAGAATGCTGGGCATAAAGAGTTCATATTTATAATCACAGCACTTGAGAATCTGAGGTAGAACAATTGCCACAAATTTAAGGCTAACCTGAACTACATAGTGAGTTTAAGGACAGCCTGGACTACATAGCTTGTCTGAGTCTCAAAAATTTTGAATCAATCAACTAATAAACACAAAAAAATTGTAAAGCAGTCTAAAATATCAAATGAAAAAAAAAACTTACTATATAGAGCATAGTGAGTGAATAAAATTAGAAGTAAATACCTAAGGGTAAAGATATTATTGGAAAAAGTATTCTTTTCAAAGAACTGTGTGTAACAAATTTAGATGGGCCTCTTCATAAAGTCAGCCTCTCTGAAATAAGTCTTCATATGGTAGACTTCCTCTACAAAGTGGAGTTCACTGAAGACCTTGCCATATATTTCCAATCGAGATCACGTACACTAGAAATTCCCAAGTAAAACGAAGCCGATACTCTTGGTTACCAAGGGCTGCGTGAAGTGAAAAGTAATGGGGCCATCAGCAATCTCTGTCATCCAATCTGACTGTCAAATAGCATCAGTATAAAATGAGCTCGATGATCACTGTAAACCTCATCTCCATATGCCTCAACTCTTTGAAATTGATGGTAGTCAACTTGACCCATTAGCATGTCTAGTCAAATTCTAGAATTTGAATTCTAGAGCTAGAATTCTATCTAGTTCCCAGAGAGCCCAGAATCTAACAGCAGCCTGCCTAGAATAGTGAAATAACCCATTTGTAATAGTGGGGTTTACCGAGGCACCTGCCCCATTGGATGGTTTGTAATGTGTTCCCTCACTCCTCATACGCCCGGCAGAGCTGGCCTTGTGATGGAGAAGCCCTCTTTGGATCCTGGCTTTCAGAAGGGTCGTACCTTGGTTGTTTCCTTGAGTGGATTCCGAGATGCTGACCCCGAGCTGGCTGCCGTAAGAGTTGATGCCCATCATACCGCTGTGAGCTGGGGAGCTGGAGAGAGCTGGAATCTGGCTGGGGTTCCTGGGGACACTGTACAGAGCTTCTGCGATGTCGGCAGCGCGCTTTAAGATGATGTCCTACAGAAAGGCGAGCTGCGGTAAGTACTGTATCCAGAGCCAAGAGTCAAATTCCACAGAGGGAAAGATGCACCACGCTCCTAACCTGGTTATTGTGAGGTGTGCCGTAAAGGGCTTCCACTAAGTCCGCAGCTCTTTTCAACAGCATTTCCTAGGAGAGAAAAGACAGGCTGGGTACAATAGAAGGGAAAGCCCCAAATGGCAAACAAACAAACAAACTAGAGATGGAAACAAGAAGTCCACACATTTGCCTCCAAATGTAATAAGCCAAGAAGTTTGATATTAGGTTTGACAAAGGGGATATAATCGCATTTACAAACCCTACAAATGGGGTAGCTGCGGACATTCACCACCCTAAGGGTTCTATCATGGTTTCTGGTACCCCAAAATCCCCACCAAACTGAGGGAAAAGTCAGTTAAACTTGATAATGTTTTGGATACTCTTTTGGAAACTACTTTGAAGCCAATGCATTTAAGATTCTGGTACTCTAAATTAATCAGATATTCTTCAAGTGCTTGATGAGCCTGAGTTTAGCTGCTTGCCAAGGAGTTGACAGAATCCTGAAATTCTCTTGGCAATCCCCACTCAAGCTTTTATTCTAATAAATATTCAATAATATTTCTCCTTGTTCATTTTAACTGGAAAAAAATAGCAATTGCTCTTCCCTCTCCTCTCCTTTTCCCTTTTCTGTTCCCTGCTTTCTTGTTTTGTTTTGATTTTTTTTGGGTGGGGATTTTTTGTTGTTGTATTTGTTTTGTTTTGTTTATAGCCTTTAAAATTGTTATTAAGCTGCTGTCCAGATATTATCTGACTTAATGGTGCTGTGTGTTTTCCCAGGAGAAAAAGAAAGAGTCTTGTTGAAGCCACTAGCATTTGGCTTTTTATTCAAATGCAGAATGAAGACCGTGTCATTTCATAATCTGCATGCCTGAAGCACAAAGATAAATATAAAAAAATAGTTTCTCTTTAGTCAAATGGTAACAAATAGATGGATCTATTTTTAAATAAAGAATGATGATGTCATGAGCTAGATTTGAGATGACATTTTCTGAGCAAATTCATTCACAAGTGACCTCTTTCATAAGGGTTTTATATGGAGAAGACATTTTATTAAATTCTTAGGTACATAGTAGGCTACATAAAATACTACTTAAACACAAAGGAATGACACTTACACTTTCAAGCAATGCTGCAAATACTCATCTTTATACAGTTGGCAATGTTTTGTAATCCCCGCATTCAGGAGGCAGAGACAGGCAGATCTCTGTGAGTTCAAGGCCAGCCTGGTCTACAGAGCTAGTTCTAGGATAGCCAGGGCTACACACAAAAACCCTGTCTCACCCCCCCAACCCCGCAAAAAGTAATTATAAACTAGCTATTCTTGTAGTATATCTGTTTTATGAGACGAAGCTTTCATATTTCACATTCCCTCAGATATTAAACATAATATATTTCAAAATTAGCAGAAACCTAACGTTCATTTTTTTATCTAAAGCACAGCCAGTTTCAAGGCTTAATTAATTTTAATGGGACTCAAACGGCTGGATTTGTCTAAATTTGCTGAGTGTCTACAAAAAGATGTTTGCGTAACAATTCCCAGTGCTTCTTACTTTAGCTAGCCTCTCTGGGTCTCCTGGGTGCCTCGGGATGACTTTCTGCAGCCTCTGGAAGCCATAGTCTATGGTGGGTTCATTTAAAGCTGAAAGACAAAAATGTTTCTTTGAGTATACACGTGGACTGTAAAGGAATTATTCTATGAAGTATTCCACAGACACTAGAAGAGTTTTGATATTTTCTAAGACTCAGTTCATGGTTCTAAAGTCAGTTAGGGGATCGTGTTATTGACATTGGTTAATTCACACATAAATTTGGAATTTGTAGTAAGTCTTCATTTACCATTAAAAAAAAACAAAAACAAAACAAAACAAAACAAAAAAAAAAACAGGTCAATGTTTCATCATCTTGGCCTTAAGCAATCCTCTGCTCCTCCTCAGGTAATCAGTGTTACACAGCCAGTCATGTACCAATTACTTTTAGCTTCCCTCCCCCCTTCAGTTCCTTCCTTCCTTCTTTCCTTCCTCTCTCCTTCCTTCTCTCCTTTCTCCCTTTCCTTCTCTCTTTCGTCTCTTTTCTTCATTCTATCTCTCCTTCCTCCCTTTCCTTCCTCTCCCTCTCCCTTATCTCTCCTTTTCAGTGCCAGGGGATTGAAGTCAGAGCCTTGTACATGCCAGACAAGCACTCTACCACTTTACCAAACCCCCAACCCAATGATACTCCAGTTTCTTAGAAAAGCAATAAACTACTTTTGTTATCATTTTTTTTCTCTCCTTCCTCTCTTCTCCTTCTCTTTTCCAAGTATATCTCCTCATCTATTTATGGTTCTAATACCCCCTTCTTTTTTCTTCTTCCTTCTTTTCTTTTCTTTTTTTTATTGTTTATTTTTCAAGATAAGGTTTCTCTGTGTAGCCGTGGCTGTCCTGGAAATCATTCTGTAGACCAGGCTGGCCTTGAACTCCACCTGTCTCTGCCTCCCAAGTGCTGGGATTAAAAGCGTGTGCTACCACCACCGGTGATACCCCCATTTTCTTAATCACTCTATTACATATTTCCATTCCATTTCCATACAATCACATTCTCATGAACGCTGTTCTCATCAGATTACACGTTCTTAATTTGCAATTATATGTGACTACTTGTGCTTTCTCAGAGGTTCGAGCTCCCCCCACAGCCCTGAAAGGCTCAGGGGAGCAGCGTTCATTTTGACTCACCACTGCACTATTGTGTCTCATGGCTAATGACAGAGCCTGACACACACTAGACATTTAACTTGGTAACTATGAGAGAAGTCAGTGAGTAAGGGACCAATAGATTGTGGTATTTCTTCTATTTTAAAGAGTTCTCTACAGTCCACCCCTTTCTCCCTTCCCCCTTTCCTTTCCTTTTGTTTAAACTCTATGGTTTAAAACTTATACATGACCAAAGAAAGAAAAAAAACATAAAATAATAACTTCCTGCACTCTTTTTAGGTAATGGCAAATGCAGGGGAGTATATTTTTAAAATTTTCCTATTTCCATACTTATTTTATAAACACCTGCTGCTATTATGCTATCAAATGATACCTTTTCTTTAAACAAGTTATAAGCCCCTTTAATTACATAGGAAAGAATAAAATCACACATAAACCAATCACTTAAGAAATGACCAGGGTTAGATACTTCAAACAATATGGGCTATTGCCTTTGCTCTTGGTTGTTCACCAGAACTTCGTGGAAAAACCTATTGTTCAAGGCACCACATAAGTTGGTCACAGATCATGGAGAAATCAAGTTCAGATGCTTCCTCCCTGCTGGCTAGCTTTCATCCTAGTAGAAGGTGCTCTATTGTCTGTTTGGGTGTGTAGGAAGGAAGTAATCAACAGGCGTGACAAGCTATGAACCCTGTGAACTGTAATACTTACCAGCGCGGCGAGCTATGCCACTGGGTACAGTGGTGGCAGGAATAATGTGAGCATAACCAACCACTTGATGATTGGATTTATGGCCTGGTCCACTGGAGGAAATACACGCGTGCTGTTGTAATCTGGCCAACAGCCCATGGTTGGGGAGCTCTTGGCCTTGCAGTAAACCTACTGCTCTTTGACACTATGGTTCTGCTAAGTTGACATTCTACCAACCGCCCTCTAGATTCTTATCTCTCTACCCATAGGTTGTACAGCTTTCAGTCCTCATCAGAGAAGCTTCTTGGTGCCGTGGATGGTGGTTGAAGTACTGGTCATATTGGAGAGGGTAAGGGCTCATCCACAAATGGGCCAGCTCTTTCGCATGCCTTCAGACTCATGAACCATAGAGGAAAAGGTAGGAGAAAGATGGTAAGAGCCAGTGTTTTCTTGACATGACGGACAATTGCACCATAAAGTCTCAGGAGCTGTGTTTTCCTACCCAAGACCTGCATATTGAGCTATTCAACATTCCAGCATGGAAGAGGGAAGGGCTTGACAAGCCCTCACACTTAGCCGAGGAGCTATTGACAGTCGGTGGCTCCTTTAAGAGTGTGGTGGCTGGCTGGCCAGTCATGCACCAGGGGACAGCCCCACAGCTATGAGTAGAGAGACAACACAAGTTGAATTCAGTGGGTTATTTGAAAGAGCAAAGGGCAGGAAGTTGAGAGGTGGAGGGGAGGTAGGGAGAGGATCTGGGAGCAGTTTGGGGAAACAGTGTGGGGAGAGGTGAATATAATCCAAAAACGTTGATAGAAATTATAAAAGATTTAGTCACAGTGTACTTTTTTTAAAGTTACATTGATGGAATACTATGGAGTATTTTCACTTTCTACTTCTTTGTACCAACTGAATATTCATATAGTAAACTTGTACTCCTCCCATTTATTATACAAAAATAATGAAAGTATTTCCATTTGGGTGTCAGAAAATGAAATGCCCAGGGCTAACACCTTTGCTTATATCCTTCCAGATTTAAACACACACACTTAAAATTACTCCGAGAACTGTAATTTATCGTGCTTACATGGCCTGTTTTAACCCACCTAGAAATGCTGCATGCCATAAGCTTTCTCCCTGGTGCTTAAGTATTCTTTTATAACATTATTTTAAATTCCTGCATATTTTCCATGATATGCTCTATAATTTATTTAAATGGCTTCCTAATTCGGGCATTTAATGTGATCCGAATTTCTCACTATTATAAAAGCCAAAGCAATAATTATCATTTGTGCATAACTTTAATTACTTCAGTCAGAAAATACCAAAAATTAGAATTACTGGACCAAAAATTATGATTTATATTTAAGGCTCTTCACACATACTATCAAATTACTTCTTGGAAGAATAGGTAAATTCACACTCCCGCCCACTATGCATACAATTATTTCAACTTATAATTATTTTTTAAAATTTTCAACTGATAATTCTCTATTCATCAGTGAGGTTGATGGGTTTTTTCCCCCTTATATTACTATCATTTCAATTTCTATTTTTTGTGAGGTACTTGATGCTTTCCATTTCTTTTTAATAGAAATTCATCTTTTTTTTTCAACTTGAGAATACTTTAATGTGAAATGGCCTACAAAGGCTCTCCCATTTGAACGCCTAGTCCTTAGCTGTTGCACTGTTTTGGGAAGTTGCAAGGACTGTAAGACCGTGGTTTAGAACACTGGTCACTTGGAAAAGACATGAAGGTGACATCCATGTCTGCTTCCTTCCTGCTTTCTCCCGCTCCTGGCAACACTTGGATGAGCTTCCCTGCCATGGTGGACTCACATCCCCAAGTGCATGAGTCAAAATAAATCTCTCCTCCCTTAACTCGCTCCTTTCATGCATTTTGGCAAAGTGACAAAGTAATTAATATGATTACATATTAAGATTTGTGTGTGGTGTACATATGTGCGTGTGTGTGCGTGTGTGTAGGGGGATACAAGTGTGTGTGGTACATGTACATGTGTGTCTGTGTGCGTTATGCGTACATGTGTATGTGTGTGGTGGTTATGGCATATGTATGTGTGTGATATAATATATATATGGGGTATGTGTACATGTATGTGTGTGTGTGTTATATGTACATGTGGGGGGGATGGGGTGTGTGTGTGTGTGTGTGTGTGTGTGTGTGTGCAGGTGGAGATCAGAGTACAATTTTTAGTATCTTCTTTTGTTATGTTCCTTTTTTTTTTTTTTTTTTTAGACAAGATCTTTCAGTAAATCCAGAGCTCATTGATTAGCAGGATCAGCTTCCAGCAAACTCCAGCGGTCGCTCTGTACCTCCCCATCAGGAAGATCACAGGCAGACACTATCAAGTCAAGCTTTTTCCCTAGGCATGGGACATCTGAACCCACACCCTCATGCTTGCACAGCAGGTGATCCGCTCACTGAGCTAACCCTCTAGCCCACATAGTGTCTCTGATTACAATTTTGAAAAAGCCCTAGTTTAAAACAAAGAAAAGAAAAGAAAAGAAAACCTGGTGAAATTGACCGGGTTATGGTTACTATAGCATTAACACAAAACAAAAAGGAATTCTTTTCTCAATACTGTAATTTTTCTTCCAAAGAGAGAGAGAGAGAGAGAGCAAGAACGAGAGAGCCACTTCCTCAAGAATTTAAATGTTTTGCCATAGATTTGGTATGACTCATTTAAGATTGCCAGCACCTCACCACCATTTTACTTCTCCTTCTTTTTGTTTTAATTTTCTAAATGGTCTCCTCAAGTTTCTAGCTAGTACAATATTAAATTCCTGCCGATTTTATTCTGGTTGGCTTTAAGATGGTGGCCTTTTGGCTTCTGAGTTCTTTGTGGATTAATACATACTAGTCTTATCTGTGTTCTGCGGGTAATGCTTTGATGTCTTGTTTAATAAAACATGTCTGTATGTGTGTGCATGTGTGTGGTATTAGGAAAGAAATCCAGCCCTGACGCTAATCACACATTCTACCACTGATATATATGTAACAGCCTATTAAACACTTTTGATTGGAACATTTACCATGCCAGCCATGTTTTCGACTGTAAGTCTTTCCATGGTCTTCTTTTATTTCTTTCTTAATCATCATATCATCATCATCATTTTAGTTTTGTGTGTGTGTATGGTATATGTACATGTGTGTACGTGAGTGTGTGCACTGAGGGAGGTCAATGGTGACAGATCTTCAGAGTTTTAGTTACAGGTGATCGTGAGCCACCTGATATGGTTG